CATCTGCCACAGCAAAAATCAGAATTGCCTTACAGCAGTGGTATTACACCAGTTTATATCAATATACATTGGTATAATGTAAATTAGATTAGTGTTACAGCTCATTAGATACATTATTATTTATCCTCTGTAAAGCCTCATACTTCTTTATATGCAAAAGGCTCATGTGCTTCAGCTGTAGAAGAGTTAAAAATCTTTGCATTTTCCCTATTTTATGTGTCTAGTGAAGAACTAATATGCAGTCTGCTCAATAATTCTTCCTATAACAAGAAGCTGTGGAGTAATTTCTAATACAATCACCTCGTACTTAACCAAGACTACCTTTGCAGTGCTGCAAACTGCAGATCCTCGGAACACTGAGCAAGATGACAAAAATTTTAATAATTTAGCCATCACAACATCCTCAAAATACAATTGTTTACACTTTCACCTGGCTCCTGATTCTTATTCTCCATCCCAGAAAGGCTGAAATTCAAGTGTGTTCATCTCATTTGCTCAGCTGCAAACACATGTGCAGTCAGGCTTTCCTACTTGCTGTTCAGAAGTGATAGGTGTAAGCACCTTCCCACTCCTTTCCATCTTCTGAAGTTTTAGGCATGCTCTAAGCCCTTAGATTTTCTTCTCTTTCCCATTGATCTCATGTCCACGTCCCTGCACCCACAGTTCCTCTGTCTCATACTTCTTTGCACCACTCACAACCCGACTTTCACCCACACTCTCCTCTCTCTATTCAGGTCCATCTCACTCCCTACTGTTGTGTGCTATGTGTTAACAAAGCCCCAGTCATCAACTCTCTCCTGACCTTCTTCATTCATGTTTTAGTCTCCCTACAGAAGCAGCTAGAAGAAAAGGTCATCATTTCCATTAAGAGCAACCTTGTTTCCCCTCATATGAAAAATGTTGGTCTCACTGGGAGAAGTTTCTCTTTTATTTGTAGAGAAGAGATGCATTTACTGCTTTGCTGTAAGTAGCAGTAATCTCACTCTGAAGGTATAGGGAGGCATTTTATAAAACAGAGGGGGAAAAGTGAAGAAAGACATTTAAAAAAAAATCCATAGAAATTTACAAAAAAAGAGTATTGCTGCATTTCCTCAGAAAACAATATACAGTCCTGGAGAATCCAATTAAAGCAGATATAGAGTATTAAAATCCTGGAATTCTCCACTGCTGTGGTTTACATTGTTTAACTTATGCAGAAATTACTATATAACTGTGCATTATAATGAAAATTGTCTTAATGTATTCTTCATGGCCCAATTCCTGTCCTTTTTATAAAATCTCAAACAAGCACAGTATGCAAAGACAGGAATTTTAAGGTACAGCAATAAAAAGTTACTGTTTTCTTTAAATGCCAATAAAAGGCAAAGAAAATTGATTGTCCTGAATCTTTCTGAAACATTCTTTCCACCGATCCATGTCTGTTCAAAACATAATTTATGGCACTCTCTGCAAAACATTTCCCCTGTGGTCATTACTGAAAGTTTTGAAAGAACACAGTCAATCTCGCCTGAACATATTTATAGTTCTGTCTGAACATATTTAGCATCTAATAGTTGCAGATAGTGGTTTTTGGTATGCTGACTGCAGATCTGAGGAAGCATAGACTGGGCAGTATTTCTCATGTGCTTCCTTAAATATTTTGTTTATTCCATCAAAGTGGGAATGGGGCAGAGGGTAGGGGGCACACAGCTTAGGGAAATGCATAGCACCAGAAATTACTTTCAAATTCCTACTAGCAGTTGGAGTAGATACACAGGATGATAAAATCCTTCGATCAGTATATCGATGTATAGGATGAAAATAAGCATCCTACATGCTGCAGGGCTAAGTAATGCTGCTGCATTAGTTCAAAAAGATTAGATTTATGAATACACATGAAGGTTAAGGGACTCTTGCCATACGAATACCAATGAACAATCCACAAGATCTCTGTGGCTACTGTCCTGCACTTAGTCTTTCCTCCTATCTTCACTCCAGAAAAGAGAAACTAGTGAGCACATACGAGGAAAGAGGCAGACAATAATTAAGTCCACGTATATGGATGGCTCTTTAGAGTCACTACTCTGTACCTCCCTCAAAAATAAACAGAAAATGTAAAGCAGAGGTGTAGTCTGATTAATCCATTCCATTAATGGTTACCCAGGCATGTTCTTTTTGAGAATTTCCAAGCAATTGTAAGGCTTTTCTAGCTTCACGTGAGATTTATAACACCCAGATCCATAGGGAAGCCTGTTTTCTAATTCAGAACAAAGATCAGGAAAGGGAATGGAAGTGTTCAACAGTATCTCAGTCTTCCACCCTCCAGATACTTCCTTTATTACTGCAACTTCTGGTTTTCCACACTCTCATTTTCCCCAAAAGTCTCTATTCAAGCCTTTCCCAAATACTGCTGGCACTGATTTGGCTCTTCTTACATCTTAGCCTTCACACTAATTGCCGGTTCTCCCACAACTTCTTGGTATCATAAGTTTTCTACTAATACAATGTTGACAACACCCAAACAATTTACATATTCTAAATTTGATCAGTGTTTTCCACGTCCAAAGAAGGTTGTTGGTCAAACCCTCCATGAGCTCTGGAGGCAAGCCTGCCTCTCAAGGGACTCCTCCCAAACCTCCCCACAGCCAGGGCCCCTGGGAGATTCAGCTCTAGGACATACCTGACATCCAACAGTCAGCTCGTCTGAGCTGGGACCAGAAACTTCCTGGCTGTTTAGGTATGGCACATTCCTCCAACTCATGTCTCCTTGTAAGGGCGTAAGTGTTGATACTTATTTATTGTGTCAGACCCAGGAGCTATACAGTTGGAATTATAAGTTGCAGCTTCTTAATCGGTACATCAGTCTCAGATTCCGTATGTCTCCATTAGGCAAAAAAGGGGTATATTTATTCAGATTTAGGATCTGAACACCAACATACTCTTGCAGTTTATTTTACCACTGTACAACACTTTTTGTGTCAGGAAGCTTTACTCAAGACTCATATACATTTCAGGAGAGGACTGTCTTCTCTAGAGAGATGAGAATGTTAGAAATCTTTTTTCTACGCTTTGACAAACCAAGCATTTTCAATTCACAGTTATCTGATGTGCAGCTAGTTTCCTCTCTTCTCAGCTTCAGTCAAACAGTGCTTTTTTTTCTCCAGGGTCTGAATTCTGAATTCCCTTCTGGGAATACACAATGCTATGTAATATTTTGTTAAAACATATCTGAATCACACCACTTCCATCTTAGGGCACTTACTTTCTCAGGTTCTCTCTCACTGTGTACTTGCCCTTTTTTACCTTGCCCTACCTCACCTCTCCAGGCTACATCCAGCAGCAGCTATTATTTCCTATTTACCTCATCAGCTGTCATGCTTTGGATGTATCTGACCCCATTTTTGCACCCCATGTTTCATGCCAGCTGCAGTCTGGATGAGCAAAACTGCTTTGGTATGCAATGTAATAAGTTCCTGTGGTGTCTGGGTGTTACAAATAGCTTATTTTTTGTGTGCATTCCTGTTAAAAGGGTAGCGGATGAGCAGGATGAGCTAAGTAGTCACTTGCACTGCAACAACAGGCTGACAGTTATGTAAAATACTTTCATGTGCAATCTCCTCTGATCCTATGCTGGTTCAGAGGAGTATTATGGTTAGATTCAGCTTGCAGGCTCTTGCAAAATCATTTTCATAAACTGGGGCACTGCTAAGCATAGACAAGACCAAGACCAAGGTTGCTCTGTTTCTTCATCCTCAGCACTTTACCTTTTCTTTCTCCTTAATCTCCTGTCTTCAGCATCTACAGTTTAAGCCCGTGGGATAAGCACAAGACTTCTTTACCGTAGTGCTTCTGCAAATACTGGTACAAATCACCTTGCAGAGGCTACTGCAGAATGACAAGGCCTGCTGGCCAGATCAGGAGGGGTTGCTTTAGCGTATTATTCTAAAATGGGATTAGTTAAGTAACTCTACAGACCAATTCAGACATGAACCCAATTCATTTTTGTAAGCTTCTCACTTCTGTATACCAGCTAAATGCCACTGATTAGGTTTTCAATTGATCATTTTCTGAAAGGTTTTCAATGCAGTTCTGGGATGATTCATGAGATACAACAGAAAATTAATACAATGACTAACTAACTGGAACTGTCATGGGCAGCAGCAGTACACACAAATGTTCAACCAGCTTCTGGAAACCATCGTTATTCTACTCACAGAGGCAGACACCTATCCTATTGCACAAAGACAATTTACAGTCACAAGGAACAACATTTTCATGCCTTTCAATTATTTTATGTAAAAAATGAGACTTGTTTTTATCCAAATAGAAATATTCAGATGCCATAATCTAAACAAAACCCTAATTTTCATTAGGTTTACAGGATCAATTTAATTTGGATTAAAATTCATGTCTGTTTTTTGTTAACATACATCTGTTAGAGATCTGTCTAGTCAGATAGGTAGTCCTCATAGTATAGGTAGTTCTCATAGTATACTGGAAGTATGAACATTGCTGTATGCTAAAATTCAGTGAAAAAGCACTAGTATCAGCTTGAAATATCCATGAATACCAAAATATCTGACATAAATAATGGTCTTTTATCCACTGCCTATTTTTGTAATCTTACAGTGACTTTTACCTTTTAGAAGTACTTTATGACTCAAAAATTGTATTCCCTTTTCAAAGCAGATGAATACTGTTTATTTTATCTTGAAATAGCCATAAAAGTATTATGCAAATTATCATACGTTTATTTACATACTGTATTAACAAAGCTCTTAATTCAAAGTTATTTCAAAACTCAGGAAGGTCACTCTGCATCTTTAGCAGCTAGCCTCACAACAGTAAGCAGACTGAACATCTTACTTGGAAATATTTTGTGCACTCTTTGCTGCAGTTGGAATTGTTTAGGCAAAAGACAGTCAGTAGACTTACACTGATGTCTCCATGTGTCTACTATCTCAACATGTTTTATTCCAGTGCATTCAATCCTGTGTTATCATTCATTTTTTCCTACTCACCTCCAAAGTAAGAGCCATCTGTCAGCTTCAGCTCCTTGTTGGATTTGGTGATGACACCAGCAACACCATGCTGAATGAAATACATCTTTTTACCCACAGCCCCTTCTCGAATAATATAATCTCCAGGTTGGAACACCTCAAATCTCAGTTTGCTTAGCATGGCAGTCACAAAATTTGGGTCTGCATTGGCAAAAAGAGGCATTGTAGCAACCAGCTTCCGACAGTTGAAGTTGACAATCTCCTAAATGGGAAAGCAACATATTAAAAATAATGGTCAGCAAATACACAGAATATGATGGTCATTGAAAAATACACATTCTGCTTTCTGCACAATGAAGTTCTTTAGCTCATACTGGACTTTTCTGTGGTTTTGTGCCTGATTTTTATCTTTTCATTACGTTATCATCTGTCAGCAGTGAAGTGATTGAAACAACAGTCTGATTTGCATTTCTGAGGTGAAAGGTTGTCTTCTTCAGGCAATTTTTTTTTATTATTTATTTTTCCCCTTCGAATTTAATGGGAAAAGCTTGACAGAAAGATAAAAATTAAATAGGAATTACACTGCTCGACAACATAATTATCTGTTGCAATAGCTGCATTAAGTGATGAAGTTATGAAAACCCTGTGTTTTCAAATATTACACCAGGAACATCCTTCTGATCACAACTGCAATGGTAATAAAATGTACATTACAGTTAATAGCAGGACTAGCTGAAATCAACAGGAAAAATTCTTTCCCAGAATTTAACTCATTTTATAAACACAGAGGCATACATTCCTGCCCTTCAAAAAAATACATATATATCAGACACTCATATGAAGAAAGCCCTGTTATTTTACTAAGACTGCTATAGTCATTAAAGGCACCTCCCACCAAGAATACTTATATTTACAGAGCCAACTATAAGCACATAGACATGAAGCTATTAATATCATACTTGCTTTAAATAATAATAAAAAATAACAATTTCTGAAAGTTTCAAAATCATTCTTGCAGACCTTACTTTGTCTTAGGAAAATTAACATAGTCAGTTGCCACAGAGATTTAACAATGTATTGGAGAGCTGAGACTAATCAGTATTACACATGGAGAGAGGCTCAGGCAAGTAATATCTACTGAGTTAGGAAGCCAAACATGACAGCAAGAACACATATGTCATCATCTGTATATAAATGGACACAGAGCAAATAAAAGAAAAATACAAGCAATCACATAACTGTTTTGCAAAATTAAATGTAATTTCACTGTCAATAGAGTATCCCAAGTATTTCTTACTCTAAGCCAAGGCTTTGTGATTGATGTAAAGGAGACAGCCCACTTAACATTATTTCACTCTTTTGACAGAGGCACACTGCATTCCTGCTGGAAGTTGCTTTTTAAACTCCCATGCATCTGCTGTCTCATACTTAGATATCTCATATATCCCATGCAGCCACATCTCTGAGCATCAACCTTAGATATACTTGTTCACAGTTCAGATGAATTCCTTTCTTCTTCTCCGCCCCCAACATGTATTAACCCACTTGCAGACATAGAATCGTAGAATGGTTAAGTTTGGAAGGGATCTTAAAGCTCATCCACTTCCAACCTCCTGCCACAGGCAGGGACACCTTCCACTAGACACAGATAGCTCAAAGCCCCATCCAGCCTGGCTTTGAACACTTCCAGGGATGTCAACCAACACCTTCAAGTCGTTCCCCTTAGGGCTGCTCTCAATCAATTCTCTGGCAAGCCTGTATTTCTACTTGGGATTGCCCTGATCAAAGTGCAGGAATGTGCACTTGGCCTTGTTGAACTTCCTGAGGTTTGCAGTGGCCCAACTCTCAAGCCTGTCCAGGTCCCTCTGGATGGCATCCTTTTCCTCTAGCATGTTGATCACATCACACAGCTTGGTGTCATTGGCTATGATGGGGAAGTTCAGCTAATTCACAGTACAAGCAACAAAACCATAATGGGTTCTTCAAATCAGTCCCCTTGCATCTGTGAATGGGATGTGAATATCTCTTTGAAGGGAAGCAATTGGTTAATGAGGCACTCAAGAAGCATGGGCATGATCTGGGAGCATAGAAACAGAGCATAGAAGCAGAATTAGCAAAAAATAATGTGGAACACAACATCTCACCAGGTACCTGGGAAGCAGAAAGGTGTTATCTGCAGCAATGTCTTATTTTCCATTAAAGAGAGAAAAAACAGAGCAAAATTACTAGTGCTGCTCTAGGTTAGACTTACGATAGCTTCTTACAATTCCACAAGAAAGTATGTAATGGCAAGGTGGAAACAGAAGTGTCTTTAAGCAGAAACTTAACAAAGGACAATACAGCTGTTCTCATTAACCCTGGCCTCAATAACATCATCTCTACATACTTAGATAAACTGCATATAAGACTTCTTCCCCTCCTCTTTTTTTTTTTCCTCTGGAATGAGACAAGGAGATGTAAAATATATAATTTTATACAATTATAAAAATGCAGAATTAATTCTAAAATTTTGGGGCTAAAGATAGAGTGATTTGAAGAGTAAGATTCTACGTTTTCGAAGTCAGTCACTAAACTCCCATTGATTTCAGTGGGGATATGATTCCACCAAGAATATTTTAGCTAAGAATTATTTATAAATGATGGAAATAGAACAACCCTCTCTGCCCATCACTCTTCACCATACTGACTCGCTCTCCCTCATCTCCTCTGACTGCCCTAATTTCCCCTTGTTGTGAGTGTTCTGGTATGCCTGAAACACTGCATCATGTGTGGTCTTCATAACTAAGCATAAATGGGCTGGATTAAGACAGGAGACAGACCTGCCGCCAAAAGCAGACTTCCTTATGGTTGCATGAAGCTTGAAATATACAGTAATACATGGCAGAAGTAGAAACAGAAAAGATGTGAGGAAAAGACCACAGTTTTTTTGCAATGACTGGGAGACTCCCTGCTTATGGAAAGGAAGAGCAGTCTGGCTAACGCTCCCATTCAGTGAAGGCAAAGACATTGATGCTACCAGTGCAACACTATGGGATAACGCTATCTACACACATGACATTAGAATCAGAGCATAAACACCCACCCCTCCTGCTGAAGTTAATTTTGCTTGTAAAAAACCATGGAAAATTTGATGCAAGATAGGTGCCAGATAGCTGTCACTGGCATTCAAGATCAGTGAATACTGCTAAGTCATTAAGTCAAAAGGAGCAATCCCTGGCTGCCCCTTCAAGTATATGCTGCATAAGGGAATAAATATTATAAACAGATTCTACCCAACTGTCTTTCTAAGGGATGAGGAAAAGCCAGTTTTCCTTCTCATCTAAATACTCCATTTCTCAGCAAAGCTTCAACCACCACCTCTCTTCCAAGGGGAAGCTGTTTACTCCCACTGCTCACAGTATGGTGGCACCATGCAAGGAGCTCCAAATTACATCCTGGGCTCCGTATGAGACTGTCTTACTGCAGCCTTGGCTGACGCAGAAAAGGTGGCAATAACTATTAGTTGTCTTGCCTAGCTCAGGGACTTTGCAGTAGACTTGCTGCTTGTTTTCTGAAAGTAAATAGCTTTTCTTGCCTGCCCAGCAGGCAGAGAAAGGAAATTACCATGAAAGCAAAAATTGACTGGAAATTATATAGGAGCTGGTGGGAAGCAGAGAAAAGCTGTGAGAGTGAAAAGCTCAACTCCAGTCACAATCAAAAAGGAAGAATAAAATAGATCTATTTGGAATAGTATTAAGAGAGAATGGAAGAAAAACAAAAACGTAAAGACCAAAAAGAAAGGGAAAAAAGAAGGTAGGAAGGTGGACTTTAAAAACAGATTGAAAGACTGAAATTCCTGAAAAAGTAAGAGCACTGGAATACAAAATGTCTGGAGTGAAAGCTGAGAAATAAGGCAGATGAAGTAAACAAAAGGGAAATCGGAATAAAAGCAGACAAGTGATCAGTAACATATCATAACAGCATCATATGACAGCATGATATAGACAGAGGGGAAAATTCAGACCTACGTGATTCCTCTGCACAGAGGCCCAACTGGAAAAAATATCATCTCATCTTGGGAATCCCAACAAAACACACCCTTGTTGCAGGATTTTCTCACTAAGTCCTCATATCAAGTTCTCACCCTTGCAACCTCATGCCTTGGTATGGCTCCATCTTCTGCTCACCTTCTGTCTCAATAGATAACCTATACCTGCATATATACATGTATGCACACAAGTTACCTGCTCAGCCTGAGTTGCTTCTTGCACGTACCAACATAGCTACAAACCACCCAGACATGGTAATTTCAGCTGTTATAAGACAGAATCATAGAATAGTTAGGGTTGAAAAGGTTCCTAAGATCATCTAGTTGCAACCCCCTAACATGGGCAGTGGCACCTTCCACTAGACCATATTGCCCAAAGTGCTGTCCAACATGGCTTTGAATAATTCCAGGAATGGAGCGTTCACAGCATCCTTGGGCAGCCTGTTCAAGTGCCTCACTGCACTCACAGTAAAGAACTTCTTTATATCTCACTTAAATCTCCTGTTTCAGTCCTAGTGATGCATTCATTTTGTTGATTAATTTTATGTAAAAGTTTATGCCAAAGTACAAACTTCCCCATTTAAGACATTAGCAGGTGGAAAATTACTGAGGGACAAAGAAATGTGTCATTTCTGAATGCTTCATTTTTCCTTAAAGTGTTCTTTTATTTAAATATGCGATCATTCAGAGCAAGTAAAACACATTTCCCTGAGTCTTAATCACAGGCAGTGCTGCAATTTAAATAGCATTTTGGGGAGAAAGAAACTAAAGATTATAAATGCATTTTATGTAACTCAAAGTAGTAGGAGAAATAGTCCTGTGCTTAAAAAAAGGGTAATGAACAAATTGCCAAATTAAGGTTGCCATTTTCTGCAAAGAAAAATCTTTTACTTATATTTTCTTTGATTTAATTTTTTGGAGCCAGAATGGAACCAAATTATGAAGCCCACATGATATGATATCTTGATTTTGTCTCACCTCTGCATAAAGAAAATACCAACTGAAGCTTGAGGAAAGGATTAGAAGTGTATTATATAGTTGAAGTGGTTAAAGGGCAAGAGTGATTAAGAACTACATGAAGTAAATGTTGATCAAGTTCAACTATTAGTCTCTGTTACAGAGGAACTACATCAGAGGTGCAATGGTCTGCTTTATATGAGACTGGTTAGGCAATTAACTGGCTCCTGCTTCTTTATAGTGTACTGGTTTTATTACTCACCTTGGCCTTCCTGGCA